GGGCTCTTTTACACTCATAAAACCTCCTCGCCTGAGTGTTTATGGGCCAGGTCCCTGCGGTAAGCCTTTAAAGTAACATAGCAGACTCCTGTGTGTTCGTAAGATCCTTTCTGTCTGTAATATGCTGCTCCAGCAACCCCCTCTGCCAGGCCACTGGGGGCCCCTCCATGTCACAGCCAGCGGGTGACGGGGAAGCGGGGGCTGCAGAGCCCATCCCGGGGTTGGGGAGCGTGCGGGCCGCTCCCGGGCATGGGCTCTCCAGCCTCCCAGGGATGCTCCACCTTCCCTGATTAGCTTCAGCCCAAACCCCTGGCGGAGGGTAGGCAGCCCTGGTGACGGCCAGGCTCCCCGTGCTGTGCCCCAGCTTGTCCTCCCTCCAGGGCAAGCGGGAGAGTGTGTGCAGTAGGGTTGCCCAGTAAAACTCTTACCACCATCGCGAACCCTGAGGGAGACAAACGTGGAAACAGACGGAGAAGCCAAGGGTCAGGCGCACCATGAAGCTCCCCCGGCCCCCCAAGTGGTGGCTGCCTCACAGCCTGCTGCAGGCCTGCCTCCCCACGCAGGGGGCCTCCCTGCACCCTGGAACTCGAGATTCTGGTCTCCTCCACTCCTGCACCCCGTTGCCACCCGAGTTAGGCATTTGGTTCTGACCTTGCCCTTGAGGCTCCTCCAAGCTCGCCTCTCACTCGCCTCATCCTCAGGGGTTGGTCAGCGACCACCTGCCTCCCGTGACTAATCCCATGCTTGCAATGACCCTTTAACCTTTTAATGGTCATAGCGTTCATTCCTCAGGCTGGACCCTTGGACCCCCATGCAGCAGGCCTTGGCCACAGGGACGGGGAGAAGGGGACCCGGCTGCTGAGAGACAGGCTGCAGAGCAGTAGGAACAGGGTGGGGTGCAGGGGTGGGTGCTTCAGTTAAGTCTCCGCAGAGCCAGAGCCTTGCTGAGAGGGAGGTCAGGTTACACAAAGCCAAGAGCTGCCTGCTATGTCCCAAGGAGGCCCTGCAGCCCTGCTGCACCCCACTCCGCAGCTTTCTGGGATGTGTCTGGCACTTTGAGGGGGGGACAGAGGACTTGCATTTGGCCCAAGCTTCCCTCTCTGAGCTCCAGACCCTCCTGGCGTAAAAATGTCCCTGTGAGTATCTTACGGGAAACCCACGGGGAAAGGCTTTGTTCCTATATGATAGTGACCAGTTAGATAATAGATGTGTAAAAACACCCTCTTCACAACACAGTTAAAACTCACAAAATATTTAAGATGAGTCCTAACAGGAACGTGAGGACCTACACGAAGAAAACCAAAATAAAGGGAGATACATACTACACTGGGAAATCTCAGTGCTACGACGATATCCATTGTGGGAAGTACTTATAATTTCAGTACAATCCCAATAACCATCTCACTGGGATCTCTCATTAAAATTGACAAGGTGATTATTAATATTCACATGGAACATGGAATTAGAAAAGACTTTTGAAAAGACAAAAAGTGAAGGGAAACTTATCCTGCCAGATATCAGAACATATTTTAAAGTTATAGAATTGGAACAACATAGAAAAGTGTGCTGCTGGCATAAATAAACATCAGAATAAACAGAGGTAAATAAAACAAGAAAATAATAAAAACCCCAACACCATAGGAATAGATAGACCAATGGAAAGAACAGTGACCCTCGACTCCGTAGGACTTTAGTGTGTCATAAAGCTGGTATTTCAAATAAGTGAAAAAAACATTCCATTCAAAATGCTGGGAGAAATTATGGCAAAATCAAGTTTGATCCCTACTTTGCACCATTCATAGCACCGAAGTGTAGGTTACTTAAAGAGCAAGGCATTTTTTTAAGAAATATAAAAGAATTAGAAAACTTAGGAGGTTGCTTTTATGTTTCTGTGATAGAGAAAGCTTGCGAAATTAATCATTTTTTTCATAGATATAGACAAATTATTCTAAAATTTATATGGAAATGTAAAGGAACTAGAACAGCTAAAATAATTTTGCAAAAGAAAAATTAAGTGAGAATTAGTCTACCCAGTTTCTCAGACATTACACAGTGACAGTAATTAAGGCTGTGTGATGTTGGCAGACGGACAGACACGTGGATCAATGGAACAGAAAAGAGATCCCAGCAATAGACCCACACAAATATGCCCAGCCGATTTCTGACAAAGGTGCAAAGGCAATTCGGGAGAGGAAGGGGGGCCTTTGGAATAAACAGAGCTGGAACGATTGACATCCACAGGCAAAAAAGCAAACCTTGACTCGGACCCCACACCTCCTACCAAAATTAACTCAAAATGCAACACAAACTTAAACATGAAATATAAAACTTTAAAACATTTAGAAAAACAAACATAGGCAAAGAGTCTTTGGATCTTGGGCTAAGCAGATTTTTAGCCCAGATGCCAAAAGCACTAAGGGACTTCATCAAAGTGGGAAGCTTTTGCTTTGTCGAAGGCCCAGCAAAGAAGATGTGCTGGAGACTAGGAGGAAATATTTGTAAAACACGTATCTCACAAAGGGCCAGCATCTAGAATACAGAAAGACCCCTCCAAACTGAGCAGTAAAAAAACAGCAAGACAATTACATTTGAAAATGGACAAAAGACAGGAACAGACATTTCAGGGAAGAGAATGCGTTTGTGACAAGTAAGCCTGTGAAAAGGTGGTCAGTATCTTTAGCCACTAGGGAAATGCTCGTGAAAACCACACGCCTAGGAAATGGCCAAAATGAAACCATGACAGCGTGAACCCGGGTGTGAAGAAGCTGGATCACTTACGCTTTGCAGGCGGGAGTGTAAAATGTCTAGACATCGGGGAAAAACGGCGGTTTCTGAAAAAACTAGCCATGCACCTAATCATTCGACCTAACATCGTGCTTTTGAACGATCCGTACACAAATGCCCATAACAACTTTATTTGTGATAGCCCCAAACTGGAAGCAACCCAAACGTCCTTCAACAGATGAGTGGTTAAACAAGGTGGGGTGCATCCTTACCACGGAAAACCCCAAATAAAGGGGAACAAACTATTGATACACCAACCAGCTTCAGTGACTGTCCAGGCCGCTATGCTGAGTGAAGAAAGCCAACCCTAAAAGGTCACATGCTTTATGATTCCATTAACAGAACGTTGTTGAAATGAGAAAATCACAGAAATGGAGACAGATTAGTGGCTGCCAGAGTTAAGGATGGGGTGGCAGTGGTGGGGGCTGGGGGACAGACAGGTGGATGCAGTTATAAAGGGGCAGCAGGGGGCCCTTACAGGCGAAGGGCTTGTTCTGTGTCTTGACCGTGTCAATGTCAATGTCCCGGTTGAGATATTTGCACTAAAATTTTGCAAGATGCCACCACTGGGAAAAATGGGTAAAGGATACACGAGATCTCTCTGTATTATTTCTTTCAACTGCGTGCGAATCTACAATTATCTTGGAATAAAACGTTCGATCAAAACAACTACCAAAGCATGACAAGAAAAGATACTATTTTCATGGATTTGTGACAGGGAAAGCCTGTGAAATAAGACACAACACCAAAGCCATTAAAGAATATCAATAAATTCAATCACATCAAAATCGCCATAAACAAAAGTGAAAATGGGCAACCAACTAAGGAAAATATTTGCAGCAGTTACTATACACGCACAATGAATATTCCAAATATATAATCATCTGTGATCAATCAGGATGAAAAAGCACATGGTGCAAAAGAAAACAGGGCAAAGGATGTGAGACGACAGTTCACAAGAGGAAGAATCCAAATGGGCAAGAAAACTGTGAAAAGACGTAACATCTCCAATAATAAAGGAAATATACATTAAAACAATGGGAGACCGGTTCTGGTTCCATCAGACAAGCAAAGCAGCGAGTCTGCTGCACCCAGGGCTGGGGAAGATGTGGGGTGTGCTCGCCTTCTCTTGCGGAGTTTGAATGGGCAGAGTCGCCTCAAAGAGCAACGGAAGAATCTACGGAACTTTCAAACGCATTTACCTTGTGACCCTGAAAGTCCCCCTCTTAGCACATCCCCGGAGAAAGAGTTTTCTGTGGCCAAGGCAGCCGGGAAAGAGCCCTGACTGCAGCTTCCCTCATCCTGGTGAAACATTGGAAATGACCAGGCTGCCCATCCCCGGAGGATGGTCACCTGAACCCCNGGGCTGCTCGTCCCCGGAGGATGGTCACCTGAACCCCTTAGAACGCTGCGTGTGCCCCGCACAGGAGCAGAGCAAGGCGTCGGGTGATCCGCAGAGAGCGACGGACGGACGGACGCCGACCGCGTGGACACGCACAGCTCCTGCGGGTCATTTGCATTTTACATGCGCCACCACGAACCCCAAATGATCATGCAACACAACCTGGTAATCCTAAAATGTTCCCCTAGGCAGGGAAACATTTTCTCTTTCTAAATATATACATTCTCTTTCTAAAATGACTATTTTGTATCTTTTCTCTCCTCACATCCGCCACGTCCCCTCCCCGCTTCACATCCCCTGACGACTTCACTCTTAACACTTCAACCAGCCTCCCTCATCCCAGTGAAACATTGGAAATGACCGAGCCGTCTTCAGAATTTTTTTTAAAAAAATAGGCTTACCATAGGATTCAGGAATCCCCCTTCTGGATGCACATCCAAAGAATTAAAAATAAGCTCTGAAGGGGCCACTTGCCTGGCAGCATTAGTCACAGTAGCCAAGGGGGGAACAACCGACGTCGGCCAGCAGGTGGATGGACGGACAAAAGGCGCTGTTTCCATACAATGAAACGTTCTTCAGCCTTAGAAAGGAATGAGGCTCTGATACACGATACAATCTGCGTGAACTTGGAGAACATCATGCCACATGAAACAAGGCAGACGCAAAGGGACAGGCGTTGCTGGATTCCGCTCACGCGAGGTGCTTAGAATAGACGGTTTCACAGAGACAGAAAGTGGGGCCGGGGAGCGCAGGGTGGGAGTTATTTTTAGTGGGTACGGGGTTTCTGTTTGAGGTGATTGACAGGATCTGAAAATGGTGATGTTTGCACAATATTGTAAATTTACTTCATACCGCCAGATTGTAAAATTAAAAGAGTTAAAAAGGTAAATGTTATGTTTTATATATTTTGCCCTCCCCCCCCCCACGCACACAAGAGTGAGGGGATTTTATTATTTTCTTTCTTGCTGGCAGCAGGACCTACCAGCCCACTAGAGCAAGTTAGAAAAAACCCACCTTGTGCTCAAAGACACCCCCTTCCCAGTCAACCCCCAAATAGAGGTGACAACTAAGACATCTGGCCCTGGGAGCCAGCAGCTGTGTTGGGTGACTGGGGGCCCCCAGTGAGCATCAGCTGTCCCTGCACCCCAGATTTTGCATGCTCTGGGCTCCAGTGGGTCCCGCCCAGTTCCAGGAGCTCTGGGTCCTCAAGGCCACAGAAGACCCAGGCCCTCCCGTGCCGGTCAGCACACCCACGACCGAGGTTGTCCCCGTGTGCGCACAGGTGACACATCTTTTGCCAGCAAAGAGGAAGTGGCAGGGTGGTCTGGGGGGGATCTTGCCAACTGGTGGCCTGTCCCAGCCCAGTCTCTGGCCTCCACATGTCCAGGTTTTGAGCCTGCCCCGTGCGGCTGAGGTTTGCATCAGGGTCTGCCAGGCGGCCCTGCAAACTGAGCCATGAAAACGAAACGGCCTTTGGCTCCTAGGAAGATTTTACACGTCCCTCCAGACTTTCACAGCCCACATCGTCTGCCCGCCACCGTATGCTTCAGGAAACGCGCGGGCAGTAAATCAAATTAATCTCGTGAAGGCCCCCAAACTTAATGGGGCACATGCACTCCATCAAAAATGGCTACGAGGGGATGGACTTTTAAATGAACCTCACGTTCCCACCACCGATTTTCATTCTGAAACCAGGAATGTGTTCTGGAGAAAAATAATTGGCCATTTAGACATGATTTTTGTTCCCAGCTTTATTGAGGTATAATTAACAAATAAAATTGTATATATTTAAAGTGCACAACGTGATGATTTGGTATAAGTACACACTGTGAAATGATTACCACAATGAAGTTAATTAACACATCCATCACCTCAAATAGTTGTCTTTTTTTTTTGGTGGTGAGAACACTTAAGACCTACTTTCTTAGCAAATTTTAAGTATACAATACAGTATTGTTAACCGTAGTCACCACACTGTACATTAGGCCGCACAATGTTTTCATTTTATAACTGAAAGTTTGTCCCCTTGACCATATATCTCTCCATTTCTCCCCCCCCTCCGCCCCTGGTCACCACCAATCTGCTCTCTGGTTCAGTGAGTCTGACTTTTTTAGGTTCCATATAAGTTATTCCACACAGTACGTGTCTTTCTCTGTCTGGCTTATTTCACTTAGCACAAGGCCCTCCAGGTTCATCCATGTTGTTGCAGATGTCCTCTTTTTAATGTCAGAATAAGATTTCATTATAAAGATATATATTTTGTACTATAAACATGTATTATATTACTATGTATGTCACATTTTCTTAATGCACTCACCTGTCAACAGCCACACAGGTGGACCGGGTCTTGGCTGTTTTGAGTAGCTCTGCCATGCACACGAGGGTGCCGATATCTCCTGGAGACCCTGCTTTTGCTTCCTTTGGGCACATACCCAGAAGTAGAATTGCTGCATCATACGGCAGATCTATTTTTAGTTTGTTGAGGAACCTCTTACTGTTTTCCATAGAGGCCTAACAATTTATATTCCCACCAACAGTGTACAGGGCTCCTTTTCTCCACACCCTTGAGACAGTCACTCTTTAAAAATATGTATATATAGATAGCAGCCATCCTGATGACCCCTGTTGATCACCCCTGATGACTAGTGACGTTGAGCACCTTCTCACATACCCATTGGCCATTTGGATGTCTTCTTTGAAAAATGTTCAGCTCCTTTGCCCATTTTTAAATCAGATTGCTGCTTTTTTCATCTGATTCCCAACCCATTTTTTCTTAGTTCTTCTGAGTACTGTGTAATAAAAAGAGCTCAGAAAGCCTTGACCTCCTGAGACCGGCGTGGCCACTTATTCATCCACCGCTCATTTATGCAACACCCGCAGTAGAACTGTCAGTGAGAGCATCACAGTGAGCAGAACAGGCCGGGTCCTTGCCGTCATGGAGGTCTTGGGGGAGAGCCATGCATTAGCAATCACACAAATGCATATACAATCACACAGGCATTAGCAATCACATGCATTAGCAATCACACAAATGCATATACACAATAAAGACAAAGGTAGGTCAGAAATCAGAGCATTTAACAAGGGGGATGTGACCCACAGGACACCGAACTGAGGAAATCAGATGTGAGCTGAGGTCTGAAATATTATTTATTAAGTTACTCATGTGTTCTCTCAACAGGTATTTACTGAGTGTTGACCATGTTCCAGGCTCTGTTCTAGACTGTGGAGATGCAGTGGTGAAATAGCCAACCGAAGCCCCCAGACTCATGAAGCTTCCCTCTTGTCACAGTGAATGAGGGAGGGCAGGCGCCAGGGGCCTGAGGCAGAAAGCAGCATGGTGTCCTCAAGGGACAGCCATGCCCTATTCGGCTGGAACCCAGAGAGGAAAGGGGAGGGAGCTACACACGAGGCTGGACTGGTAGACGGGGCCCAGACCAGAGCCTTGTGACTTAGGATGGCAATCATGCAATCGCTGGAACACGTCTGTGCGAACAGTTCCATTCCCAAACACAACCCTTTGGTCTCACGCCCGCCGATGAAGGTGGCTGGCTGGGCTTGGCACAGGGCTGAGTGCTTCCGATGTTATCTGACCGATTGGGATTTTGGGTTTTGCTTTCCTAAATGCATGTATAACGTTCGGCAGCCTTGACGAGCCGCCACCATAATGTAAACTCACGGGACACCTGCATTCCCCCAATTTCCTTTTCCCTGTGTCATTCCTTTGAGGAGGTCTTTTACTTGATTCAGCAGTGCCCCTTGCCACCCTGTGACCGTGGGAAATGTGCACAAGCCCCCTGAGCCTCAGATTCTTCCCTGCTCCGTGGGGGATAATAAATAATACCTCCTTGGTGGGGTGGTTGGGATGGCTCATTGAAGGAAACGTGAAAACGGATGTGAAATGCCCAGCACAGTGCCCGGAGCTCAGGAGATGGGCATCACGAGTGTTCTTTCTGCCCCCTCTCCCCCTTACCCAGGCCGCAGTGTAGTAAGTGAGTTTCTGTTCAGCAGGGGATGTCTGTTCTCGAATTACAGTAACTGCCAGTTTCCGGGGCAAGGGGTTATTAGCGAGGCTTCCTCCCGCAGTGGTCCCGGCCGGCCAGGGGAGGTGGTGGCGAGGGTCCTTTCTGAGCTGCTGGAGTGCGACTTCATTCTGGAACAAAGGAGCAACAATGATAAAAGCCGAGCCTTTGTCTTCTCTCTCGTGGGGACCAAAGTCATGTGCGCGGCTGTGCGCAGAGCGCGCCACGTGACCGAGCCAGGGCTTGAAAGCCGGTGCCTCTGAATGCCGGCCTCCAAACAGAATAATTGCATGCAGACATTCCTTTTGATCACATTCTAATACCGATTTACAACTCTGCTTCCTTGTAACCCCGAAGAAAGCCCTAATCACGGAGCGCATACCAGCGCTGGAGCTGCGGCGGGTGGGGGTCTGCGAGCTCGCACTCGCGGGCCGCGAGAGGGGCTCCCTCTCCATGTGGCCAGTGGGCTATTTTCATCCCCACGGCTCGGTGGAGCACTGCAGGCAGAAGACAATTTTTTTGTGGTTTGCTCGAGGCCAGGCAGTTTTTCCATTCTGTTCTTTTATTATGATCATGATTACTTCATTACCTACCCCTGATGGGGTTTCTTTGGGTCCCGGTCTGTTTTTAATAAGAAGCAGACTAAAAACAAAGTTTCGGTTGTGTGTGAAATCTTCAGCTTTCCCCCCACCCCCTGAAATAATAGGTTCAAGAATTTTATTTGTCTTCTGAGGTTCTGAGGTTGGCTCCTAAACGCTCTGACCCAAGTCCTCTGGGGAGCGGGGAAGTGGCACTTAGAATACGGCCGCCGAATGCAGGCTCCTGGGCTCTGCCCCCCTCGGCTGGCTCCGAAGCTGCGAGGTGAGGCCCAGGAAGCTGCACTTCGAGCAAACTTGCCGGTGATTTTAGTGAGTATTAAAGTCTGAGAACAGAGTCAAGGGGAGAAAATCCATCCGCAATATTTCTTTTTAATTGCCATGTAATTCAAATGCCATAAAACTCTTCATTTTAAAGTGTACAGTTCTGTGGTTTTCAGTACAGTCACGAGGCTGCCATCACCGCTATCCAGTTTCGGAGCGTTTCTGATCTCCTAAAAAGCAGCCCCGCACCTATCAACAGTTAGCCCCACTTTCTCCCCCTCCCAGCCCCCAGCAACCATTAATCTATTTTCTGTTTCTATGCCTGTTCTGGACATTTTATATAAATGATGTCATACAATTTATGACCTTTTGTGTCTCGCTTATTTCACTTGGCATAATGTTTTCAAAGTTTACCTATATTGTAGTATGTATCAGGACTTCATTTTTTGTTGCTGTATGATATTCCATTATAAGGATATATCTCATCTTGTTTGTTCACTAACCGGTTGATATCAGTCAATATGTACTGAGTAGCATTTATGGGCAGCACCGTCTGATGGGCTGCCCGGGGGTTGCAGATGAGTTCTCCAACAGTGCAGGGAATCGAGAAGAGGGGATGGGAAGAGAGCATCAGGCACAAAGCAGAATGAATGAATGAATGAATGGAAAAAAGGGAGGCCACACACACAGGCAGAGAANCAGCATCAGGCACAAAGCAGAATGAATGAATGAATGGAAAAAAGGGAGGCCACACACACAGGCAGAGAAAGTTAACTTGGAGAGGCATCCTGGGGCCTTGCTGGGTGACGGGTAGTGCTGCCCAAGCTCAGGATCAGCAGTGACAGTCACTCAGCCAGGTGAGGGGACCTTTACTGCAAGTTGGATCTGGGCCCTGGGGCCCCAGAGATAAATCAGACATGATCCACCCCATGGAACTCATAGATTATGAAGGAGGCAACAGATGGACCTCGATTATGGCTTAATACAGTGTAGCTGTGGAGGGAGAGGGCAGAGAGGGTGGAGGGAGCGGCCCCTTCCAGCTCAGGCGTTGGGACAGGTGATGGAGGAGGTAGTGTTGAAACTGGGCTTGGTGGCTTGGGTAGGATTTAAAAATGGTGATAGACACCTGCCATTGTGGCTCAGTTGGTTGAGCGATGTCCCATGCACCAAGAGGTCGCAGGTTCGATTCCCAGTCAGGGCACATGCCCAGGTTGCAGGCTTGATCCCCAGTAGGGGACCTGCAGGAGGCAGCCGATCTATGTGTCTCTCTCTCTCTCTCCCTTTCCCTTCCTCTCTCTGAAATCAATAAAAATATATTTAAACAAAACACACAAAAACTCTTTTAAAAAAAGATGATGATAGACAATGGGAGCAAGTCCTGGGAAAGGGGGTAGTAATGTCTGAGACAGGCTCAGGGACGGAGTTCCAGGACATCTGTTTGACTTAGGTACGTTATTTTCAACCCTGGCTACACATCAGAGTTACCTAGGGCTTTAAAAAAAAAAAAAAAAAAAAGCTGGGCTCCATCCCTAGAGATTCTGTTTTAATTAAATCGCTTTAGGGTGAGCCCAGGCAGCAGAATTTATTAAAAGCTCTCCAAGTGACTCTAATGAGCAGCCAGAGTTAAGAAGCACTGGCTCGGAGGATTCAAGGAGAGACAGCGGGACACCAGCCTGGAGGGTGAGCTGGGAGCGGAGGGTGGACAGGTTGACCACATCGTTTATTGTCCAAACTGCAACACCTTTTTTTTTTTTTTTTTTTA